ACGCGTCTCTTTCACAGTAATGACTCAAAACAAAACACGTGGTTAAAACGACGCGTCTCTTTCACAGTAATGACTCAAAACATAACACGTGGTCACAAAGATGCGTCTCTTTCACGGTAATGAGTCAAAGCAAAACACGTGGTTAAAACGACGCGTCTCTTTCACAGTAATGACTCAAAACATAACACGTGGTTACAACGACGCGTCTCTTTCACAGTAATGACTCAAACAAAACACGTGGTTAAAACGACGCGTCTTTTTCACAGTAATGACTCTAACAGAACACGTGGTCACAAAGATGCGTCTCTTTCACGGTAATGAGTCAAAGCAAAACACGTGGTTACAACGACGCGTCTCTTTCACAGTTACGACTCAAAACAAAACACGTGGTTAAAATGACGCGTCTCTTTCACAGTAATGACTCTAACAGAACACGTGGTCACAAAGATGCGTCTCTTTCACGGTAATGAGTCAAAGCAAAACACGTGGTTACAACGACGCGTCTCTTTCATAGTTACGACTCAAAACACGTGGTTAAAACGACGCGTCTCTTTCACAGTAATGACTCAAAACATAACACGTGGTTACAACGACGCGTCTCTTTCACAGTAATGACTCAAAACAAAGCACGTGATTAAAACGATACGTCTTCAAGGCTTAAACTTTCCATAAACTGTATTTATAATACGCATTTATAGCTCAGGAAACACAGTAGAGGTAAGATTCAGGTGTATTCCCTCCTATTTATTAAATATACAGGTTATGATTTGACATTTTTATGTTCCCATTTATTGCTTATCTTAACAGTAAATCAGCAACATCTAAATTAATTATAAATCTGAGCATCTTCATAGCTTCCAGAACTCTCGTGAAGAATACGTCATACATTTGCCGAGTTAATACACATATTTGTTATTGCATAAACATGGTTTATTTGTTTGATTTTTTATTTTTGTTAAGTTTTCTATAAGAAACGGTTCTTTTAGTCAAAGATTGGCTAGTAAGGTTTGAGAAAGTGCATGTCTTACCAAACTTATTGCAGTCTTATAGAGTTACTATCAGCTGTAGAATTAAATAACATAGTTTCTATATAAAACCTCAAAGCAATTATCTGGAGAAGACAGGCCAATGTTTTTTCGAAACAGGTATTAAGTTCCACCATCAACAAAACTCTTCATTATCGTTGTTTGTCTGCCTATCGTTATCGTTGTTTGTCAACCTATCATTATCGTTGTTTGTCTACTTATCATTATCGTTATTTGTCTACTTATCATTATCGTTGTTTGTCTACCTTTCATTATCGTTGTTTGTTTACCTATCATTATCGTTGTTTGTCTACCTATCATTATCGTTGTTTGTTTACCTATCATTATCGTTGTTTGTCTACTTATCATTATCGTTGTTTGTCTACTTATCATTATCGTTGTTTGTCTACCTATCATTATCGTTGTTTGTCTACCTATCATTATCGTTGTTTGTCTACTTATCATTATCGAAACTTGTTATATATAACAGTATACTAAAGGTACTTCCAATGGATCCATAAAAATAAATATTTTTATTTCTTGATTTTGAAGTTCACATGTCACGCTGTGTTCTAGCCTACAGAGTGCATAATTCTTCTCGTGATTCATGGCATGCGCACGTTTTATTGGCGTCACGACAGCACAAATTGCAACGTTAAGCGTCCCTTGTATGACGTCATTTTAGTGTCTATTGACTGACTGACAGACAACACACTACCGTATAGAGCTGTGTTTCGGGTAAATAAACGATTATCTATAATCAAAACTGTTGAATATGGTACTATATAACCGGATTAGCTTTAGTGAAAACAGTTGAATACAATACTATATAACCAGGTTAACTATAGTGAAAGCTACTGAATATGACAATATAAACCAGGTTAACTATAGTGAAAACTAATGAATATGATACCATATATAGCCTGATTACCTGTGTTTGTTGTAAGTGCTAAAAGTAGACCTGTATTCTTATAACTACTAAAAGTAGACCTGTATTTTTGTAATATTAAAACTAACCCTATATTGTTGTAAGTGCTCAAAGTAGACCTGTATTGTTGTAAGTACTAAAGGTAGACCTTTATTTTTGTAATACTAAAATTAACCCTGTATTGTTGTAAGTGCTAAAAGTAATCCTATATTGTTGTAAGGGCTAAAAGTAGAACTGTATTTTTGTAATATTAAAACTAACCCTATATTGTTGTAAGTGCTCAAAGTAGACCTGTATTGTTGTAAGTACTAAAGGTAGACCTTTATTTTTGTAAGTGCTAAAAGTAATCCTATATTGTTGTGAGTGCTAAAAGTAGACCTGTATTGTTGTAAGTGCTAAAAGAATATCTTTGTTTATTATAAGTGCTAAAAGTAGATCTGTATTTTTGTAATACTAAAAGTGACCCTGTATTGTTATAAGTGCTAAAAGTATACCTATGTTTGTTGTAAGTTACAGAGGTTACAAGGTATACGCTTCTGGGTAAAAACATTCTGCTAGGTTCAAAGGTTACAAAATTTATGTCTATTTTGTGTTAACCAGTAAAGAAGCGTTTTTTGATATACTTCGAGGGTCAGAGGTACTAAGATGTTCATCTTCTGGGTGAAACATTTCTGCCAGGTTCAAAGGTTAAGAAATTGATGTCTATCTGGTGTTAGCTAGTAATACCTGAAAGCTTCGTTTGAATAATATCAATGTGATTTATACTGTGAACTTCAAATAATGTATTTTTTATAAAGCGACTGACTGTATTACATAAATTAGTGTAGTATGAATTTGTTTTTTGTTTAGCATAAAACTATACTCTAGGCTATCTGCACTGTGTCAGCCGCGTGGATCGAACTCAGAATTTTACTTTTATAAATCCAAGACCTATCGCCGAGTTAAATATTGTTATTCACTTATAATTTTTGGTTCGAAGCGTTATACTTTTATTGCATCAAAAACTGCTTGGTGTTTATATAATATTTTTACAGTTACGTTTTATTTTTAAAAATGGATGTTCAAATTCTTAGTTAAAACGATTGAAAAGTAAGAACAATCCTCTTACCTTCTCGGTAAACATATGCTGATAGCAAACCACTAGCGAATAAATTTCGTCTATTGATTGTTTAAGTACAAAAATTACTTAGAGTTTCAGCGTCGTTTCATGCACTTGCTACAGAAACTCTTGCTACCCAACAATCCATATTTCACATGTCCAGCAACTGAACGATGATTGCCTCGACCACCACACGGGGGCGGTCGTCGTCGGCTGATCGTCTATAAAGACAGGCGTACAGTAGTTTTACTGTAAACAAGTAGCTGAGCTAGCTTTTCTCCGAGTCGTGTGGGCATGAGTAAAGGCTTACAGTGGAACCTGGCGTCTTGATTAATCTACCTTCAGAATCAGAGACTTAGCGACAAATAATACCGTAAACACGAGTTTAAATTCCCACCGTTTCGTATAACATAATCATTCAATTCTGGAGCTTTCTGTTTACTCCTACCAAATAGCTGATGGGGCAAGTTTATTAGCGTCGATGAAGTGTTTATCAGCATAGGTCACGGTCAGCATAGATCACGACAGTTCTTCTCTCTGGTAATGACCCAGGCTAATCATCCCTTTAGGGCCTTAGCCAGAATGTCTCACAGGAGAATATTTCACCGACAGTCCTTAGTCCTAACTGTTTACTTACTCACTGTTTCTCTTGTATCAGGTAAGACGATTCTACATATTTTATCAGAGTTTTTAAACACTAGACTTCAGAATCTTTAATATTTGAATAATACAAATGATTGAGTCACGGATTTGAAAATATATCACAGTGAGTACAGAAACTCTTAACTCTGGAAATAGTTTATTGAGATGTAATTATAGTTATTAATTTAATAATACTGAAGTAAGTTGTGCATTTGAGTACAGTTATATTTCTTCAAATGTTCGAGCTGAAACTTTCATCTCAGTCCATATGAATGAAACAAATACATCAAGTCCATTTTAAACTTCTAAAATTAATCTGTCCTCCTTGTAAGTTGAATTTGAAAAATAAAATCTGCTCTTTTAAACACATTCCTCGTAAATTGACATTTTAAAACTTCTAATCTTTATAATAAACGTTTAATAGTTCGACCTCACAATGTAATTATTTTTTTCCGCAATAAAATGTGATCTAAAGATGTTGGAACTTTATGAATTAATTACAAACACCGATTCTCTATAGATCTAACGTTCAGTTGATCAGATGATTTCGAGATCAAATTAGTTTGTTTTGTTTTTCTAAACAACAAAGATAAAAGTATTTGGGGATCTCCTTTTAATTACAAACTCGACAGTTTTATCTGTAAATTGTCCTCCGGTGGGACAGCGGTAAGTCTACGTATTTACAACGCTAAAATCAAGGGTTCGATTCCCCTCGGTGGACACAGCAGATAGCCCGATGTGGCTTTGCTATAAAACACACACATTTGTAAATTGTGATAAATTCCCTCAGTTTCAGTCAGTAACTACTAAACATATCAGTTTCTGAAACTTGTTGAATGTGAGAGAAACCAGGAACTAAAAAGTAGTTTAAAGGTTGAAAAGTTTTAGCCTGCCTAAAAAACAACAACAAAAAACACACGAAATGATAGAAAAGTGTGTAGCATAGTAAGAAATATACCTAACCCAATAGCCTATGGCCTACACAAGAATGCACGTTAATTGGTAGGTTGTAGCATAACAAATAATTATTCTAATATACCAAGTAAAATCCACATAGTGTGTTGAATCATTATGTGTATTACATGGTACTTCTCAGCTTACGAAAGAACAAACATTAGGTGTAGCGTAATTTGTAGCTAGTAAACAGGGATGAACAAACATTACTTTGTAAGGTGTAGCGTAATTTGCAGCTAGTAAATGGGGATGAACAAACATTCCTTGGTAATGTGTAGGGTAATTTGCAGCTAGTAAATGGGGATGAAAAAACATTACTTGGTAATGTGTAGGGTAATTTGCAGCTAGTAAATGGGGATGAAAAA